GGCGACATAAGTCAGGAGGACCGTAGTCAACGGGCGAAGGATGTTGGAAAGACTGTAGTCGGCGGGCGACGTAAGTCAGGAGGACTGTAGTCGGCGGGCGACGGAGGTCGGAAAGGATGTATTCGGTGAGCGACATAAGTCAGGAGGACCGTATTCAACGGGCGACGGATGTCAAAAAGACTGTAGTCGGCGGGCGACGTAAGTCAGGAGGACCGTAGTCGGCTGGCGACGGAGGTCGAAAGGACTGTAGTCTGACGACGAAGATCAGTAGGACAGCGTCAGGTAGAAGTCCAGCAATGAAAAGAAATGCATCTTCGCATAGACGTCCAGCGGAGTCCGATAACCGGTAGAAGTCCGGCGTCGGGTAGAAGCTTGGCGAAGAGTGAAGGTCCGACGTCGGGCAGAAGTCCGACGTCTTTGGTGGCAGAGGAGAACTCCGTCTTCACTTGGGCGGAGTTTCGGCGTCATGAGGGAATTCTCTTGTAAATTGGGAAGAATTTCAGCATCCCATGGAAGTTGGGCAGAATTCTGGCGTTCTCCCGAAAATCCGGCAGAGTTCCGGTGTCTTCAGGCGGCAGGAAGAGCTCCGGCGGTGGTCGAGGAGGTGAGGAATCTCCTTTTCCCCTTTCTCCTCTCCTTCTTCTCTCTCTTCACTTGAGCCCCCCTTTTGGTGTAGAATGAGGGCTCTATTTATAGTTTTTCTGGAGTGGCATAGCCCGTAAATAGGTGTGAGATCAAGGGCGAATTGTGAGTGGTTTGAATGGACGGCCGATATCGAATCCTTTGATCATGCACCGTTCGTTGGTCATTTGAAGGCCTTAATGATGTCGGAATTCAATGATCTTGGGCTCGTCGGATTCGTCTCGTCGAGCCGTTCGATTCGAGTATAAGCTCGTCAAAATCGGAGACCGTTTGGTAACTCAAATTGCGGTTTGAACCTTCCAACAGCGCTTTGAACCCTTGATTCAGACTCATTTGGGCTCGGATTGGGTTGATCTTGGAATCGTTGGGTTCGTATTTTCGAGACGCTCAGTTTGACTATAAGCTCGCTGAAATCGGAGTTCATATGCTCCCAAAATTAATTTTTGAAGTTTCCGAACTGATTTTGCCTCGAGATTCGTGCCCAATCAAGATAATTTTGTGATGACGTATCAAGTATTTTTTTATTTATTTAAGTATAGCTGCTATTAAATGTAACTGTTATTTTTGCATTAAAGCTCCATTTTTTTTAAGGGAGCATTTAAGCCAATTAAGAAAATCTCACACACACATCACATGCATAAAACTCGAAGTCATGACCTCTTAGTTGATAGTCAAACTTACCAACCAATATGCTACGCTGAGTTGTGTGCACCTTTCTGTTGCCTCCTTCTCGATTGAGCTATTTCTTTCTCTGTAGAAACTCATAATCTCATTCTTGAAGCTAACGGAGAATAAAGGAAGAAGATGAACAGTGCAAAGAAAGAGAAAAGAGAAACTTTATTTTACTTTTCATTTCCTTTATAGTACTATACCTATACCTATATATAATAGCTGTAGTTGTGCTTTCCAAGTGTACAGCTATTATTGGACAGCAAGATTAATACATAATATGATAAATGGTTTTAGGTATTCTAATATAATATTCCCCCTCAAACGGACAATTGGGTCCAATGGTCAGTTTGGAGCGAAGAATTTTGAACCTAGGTGTACAAAGCAGTTTTGTTAAGATATCCGCGATTTGATCTTCACTGCTAATTGGCAGCAGACGAATAATCTTGTTTTGAATGTGATCCCGAACAAAGCGTTGATCGATTTCGATATGCTTTGTTCGTGCGTGAAAAACAGGATTATTTGCCAACGCAATGGTTGAAGTATTGTCACAAAATAGGTCGACTGATTGAGGGTGATCAATGAGAAAATCAGCTAGGAGTTTCTTTATCCAGATTGTATTCGCCGTTGCTGAAGCTAACGCTCTATATTCCGATTCTGTTGATGATCGAGAGACAGTCGCTTGCTTCTTAACTGTCCAGTATACCAATGTCTCACTCAGAAATGTACAAAATCCCGTAGTTGATTTTCGCGTGATCGGATCCGACGCCCAGTCAGCGTCTGAGAAGGTGCGAAGTGTCAGGTTTGATCGTGTGATGGGAAGACCGAATGCCGATGTTCCTTGTATATACCGAAGCAACTTCTTTAGCAGAGCAGTGTGTTGAACTTCTGGATTGTGCATATGTTGTGAAAGCATATTGACTGCGTAAGCTATATCCGGGCGAGTCAGTGTAAGGTATTGGAGTGAACCGATGATACGTCGGTAGGCGCTGGCTGAGAAGCAAGGTTGATCGGCGGGAGAGACATCTGGTATTTTGGTTGCCAAAGGATTAGCTACCGAGTTGCATTTTTGCAGCTCGGCAAGGTTTAGAATCGATTGTGCATAAAGAGTTTGAGACAGGAAATACTTATATGGAGATGATTCGATCTTTATGCCGAGGAAATGATGCGCTTCGCCCAAGCTTTTCATTGTAAATTTTGATTGTAGTTGAGCTACTAGTGCCTTCATCGTTGTGGGATCGTTACCAGTTAGTAGTATGTCGTCGACATACTAGCAGGTAGATATGTGTTTGATTGCGGTGAAGAATGAGCAGTGACTGATCGGCCTGACTGTATTTGAAGCCCAGATGAAGAAGATACGATGTGAATGTTGTGTACCACTGGCGAGGAGCCTGCCTCAGTCCATAGATCGCTTTCCGCAGGCGACAAACGTGATCGGGATTGGAAGAGTCTTCGAATCCTTTAAGTTGTTTCATGTAAACTATCTCGTTGATATCCCCGTGTAAAAACGCATTGGCCACATCAAGTTGATGTATTGGCCATTGGTAGAATAACACAATGGTGAATAGAATACGAATAGTTGGTAGTTTGGCTACCGGACTGAATGTTTCCTGGTAGTCCAGACCGAATTCTTGTTGATTTCCCTGAGCTACAAGCCTTGCTTTACGTCTTGCAACCGAGCCATCCGAGTTGCGTTTAGTTCGGTATGTCCATTTTGAACCAAGTACCGAGCTGTTGGACGGAGGCAACACCAACTCCCACGTACCCTATTTTTGTAGAGCGAAAAATTCTTCTGCCATTGCATTTATCCATTCGAAATGTTTGTTTGCTTCGGTATACGTCGTGGGATCTGTGTGACTTAATTCGGTATGTAATAAGTTGAGTAGTTTGTTTACAGGCTTGAGTGAACCTGTTCGTTTTCGTGTGATCATGTGGTGCGTCTGCTTTGATGTAGTGACCCTCACCGGGGCCACATTAGCATTGTTTTCTGATGGTTCGATCATTTACGGACTCAGGCGAGGGAGCTGAGGCGTGTCCAGAGCTCTGGCAGGGAACTGAGCCGAACTTATGCTGGTATGCGTAGATTTTGTCATGGATGGAGGTATAAGCAGAGATGGTGGTGTGATGCCTTGAGGTTGAGTGTCTGGCAAGGACCTGTTCTTAAACGGAAAATTGTATTCGTCAAATTTGACATGTTGAGATATGAATATTTGATGATTTTGGGTGTTCAGACACCTGTAACCTTTCATTGTGTCGGCATACCCAAGAAATATGCACTGCGGCGATGTGGGTGTTAGTTTAGTACGCTGAGTGGGTGGTAACAGAGGATAGCATTCGCATCCAAAAGTACGCATATGGTTGTAAGATGGGGCAATGTTAAACATGCGTTGAAGCGGGGATACATTGACTGTTGTGACGGACGGGAGGGGATTAATGAGATAGGTAGCAGTAGTTGCTGCGTCAAGCCAGTAGGAAAGCGGTAATCCTGCTGTGTGAAGAAACGTTCTTGTAGTAGTTATAATGTGGCGATGCTTCCTTTCAGCGATCCCGTTCTGTTCAGGAGTGTAAGGGCATGTAGTTTGGTGAATGATGTCAGCCTTGCGGGTGAAGTTTTGAAATTGATGATTGATGAATTGGCCTCCACCGTTAGTCCTTATAAATTTTAATTTACGGTTTGTTTGACGTTCGATTAATGAAACAAATTGAATAAAAATGCTAGTAACGTCAGATTTTAACATGATTGGGAATAGCCAGGTAAACCGAGAGTAATCATCAACAAATATTACATAGTATTTGAAGCCTTGGTGTGATGAGACCGGTGAAGGTCCCCAAACATCCGAGTGAATAAAATCTAGAGGTGCAGTGGTTTTACTAATCGAGTTATCGAACGACAGTTTATGACCTTTACAAGAAGCGCATAAATTGCAAAATGAATTAGAAACAGAAATACTAAGAGACGGATTTGAGTGAGAAATCGTCTGCAGAACATGTTTGTGAGGATGCCCGAGACGGGAATGCCTGTCCGGCTTGAGTTGGACGTCCACCGAGAGATCTTTAGTCGAGGAATTGAGCTGGGCTGGGACGGTGTACAGTCCTTCTTTACACGGGCCCTGAAGGATAGGTAGACCTGTTATCTGATCCTTAAAAACAAAGCCATTTGCGTCAAATGTGATAGAAATTGGGGTTATCTTTGACGAGCTTTGAAATGGAAATTAGATTATACGATAGTGAAGGAATATGGAGAAGACGAGAGAGAAGAAGCGTACTGGATGGGGTGAGAAGGATGCCCGTTCCTGTATGAGCAATTGGTATAGACCTTCCATCCCCTATGGTCACCGAGTCATTGCCGATGTAATCATGTGCGTTTGCCAGATTGTCGATCTTGTTAGTCATGTGGGATGAAGCCCCTGAGTCGATATACCAGTCCGCCTAGGCGTTGTTGTCGTAATTGGCAAGAAGTGCGGACTAGTTCTTGGAGGATGGTTGATTTGGTACATAATTTGGATTGAGTCTATGCCAGCACGCATCCGCTTGATGACCTTTCTTTTTGCAGATTTGACACGTTATGCCGGAGGCTTGAGATGACTTGTTTGTAACAGAGTTGTCATTAGTCGATCTACCTCGACCGCGTCATCCCCGACCCGTGTATGTGTAGAGGGCTATTTGAGCGTCCGGCATCTTGGGAAGTTTGAGCGCCACGGATTTGAGATGGATTTCCTCACTCATGAGTAGAGCATACAGTTGGTCGAGGGACAGGGATGTCTGCATCGTACGAATTGTCGTTGTGAACGACTGATACTCTGGAGGCAGACCATTAAGAATATATATCATTACATCTTCAGGGTCAACTGACGAACCGACTGAAGATATTTGATCCACGATCTTTTTGATCTTAGTGAGATACTGAGTCATGGACATCGTCTGCATAGCGATATTGTGAAGCTCGTTTTTGAGTTGTATTACCTTTGATCTGTTGGAGGATTGGAACCGCGTGTGGAGCATAATCCAAATGTCCGACGTTGATTCAAGATGTATCACATACGGTAGAACCGCTGGGGAGATCATTGAGCACGGCACATAGCGGTAGCCAGATCCTGATCCGTGACGGACCAATTTGGAGAAGCTTGATTTGGATCGACATTTTCAGTTGTCGATTTTGGATCAAGAAAGTTCGCAAACCCATTTGCTTTGAATAATTTGGCAATTTGGGTGCTCCATATAGGAAAGTTATACGGTGTAAGAGCGTGAGGGACGAGAAGTTTTAGATTCGAGATGACGAATTTTAAGGACGGAGAGATCGTCGGAGACGGTTGCGCGACTCCGATCGTTGCTCCGGAGGAGACAGAAGCGGAAGGTTGAGTCGTCATGGCGAGGTCGTCAGTATCGAGCCGCTCTTGATACCATGTAGAAACTCATAATCTCATTCTTGAAGCTAACAGAGAATAAAGGAAGAAGATGAATAGTGCAAAGAAAGAGAAAAGAGAAACTTTATTTTACTTTTCATTTCCTTTACAGTACTATACCTATACCTATATATAATAGCTGTAGTTGTGCTTTCCACGTGTACAGCTATTATTGGACAGCAAGATTAATACATAATATGATAAATGGTTTTAGGTATTCTAACATTCTCGACTTCCGCAAGTGACGCCTAGCTTCTATAACGAGCTATCATTGCAAGTTGCAACCCTCTGTTGGTGAGCTTCTCCAGCATCAACAAGCTCTTTAATCTAGCTCGAACTTAAGTTTATTTTAACAAGTTGAGCTCAAACTCAATGCACAAATTCGACTTGAGCTCAAGCTAAGTTCAAGTATACTATATATAATACTCAAAATTTTCATGTAAAAATATCAATTTTTGTTGTATATCCCTAATTAGTAAATTCTTAAAAAAAATATTGAAATTAGCGCATTAATTAACAGTTAATTAAATTTATCAATTTCTGCTGATTTTATAATTTGCAGTTAATTAATTTTAAAAATTTAGTACTAAAAAAAGAACTTTTACACACTATTAATGCCTTCCTCATTGCTCTCTTTATTAGGATCCTCCAATCCCTCTTCATTATCATTGACGCTTTTTTCTCTCGGCATCCTATCCACTACACATTCTTTGATCGTGTCCCCCAAAATTTTTAATCATTATTATTATATTAGCTGCTTGAATAGAACTCAAAATTATTTTATGTTTAAGCTAAATTCAAGTTTTTTAATCAAATGACCTAATAGCTATAAGAACATCTTTGAAACCAAGACGAGTTTCCCCTTCTCGATAATGAACATTTTTAAGTACTTTAATATCAAAATCATCATCAACTAGATTGGTTGGTCATCAGAGAGAGAGTGCTATATTTTGGGGAGAGCTAAGAAAAATGAACAGTATAATGAAAACTCAAATAACTTAATCCAGCTTTAATTAAGAAAAAGCTTCAATATATATATATATATATATACATTGCTTCAAAATATTGGATGGGCTATGATGTGGCTCGGGCTCATCATTCCAATCCGTGGCTAGTTCACAACCTTAGGTGGTGTGCGGAGATGGTGGTTGGTAGGCTGTTGGTGGTCCTTGCTCTTTCACTCCTCTGAATGGTCCGTGCCCGAATTTGGAGTGGTTCGTAGTCTGTGCCTTTGCTGAGCCTAACGGCCATTGTGCCTTCTTATCCTAGTTTTTCTGTCCCATTTTCTTTCATTTATCCAAACAAAACAATGTGTTCCACACCCACCATGACATCTAAGTGGTGGTAGGTTTTTATGTAAAGGGTTGATTAGACAGTCAATAATGGACAAAGCGTGACGCCATTGATATCATCAAACATTCAAACTACACTATACTAAGACTCTTAATGGCATCCGTTAAACCTAAAAAGGAGCTTCATCATTGCGCTGAACCCTTCACTTTTTGCCTAATTGGCCTTTGGAAAATTGAAAGAGGACCATAAGATCGCTAGGCCTAACCCCCACGGCAGCAAAATTAAATGCATCGTCCTCATTACTCATTAGGTTGGAATATTAGAATGATGCTTACATACTTTTGTTTTGTTAGATTAGGCTTTGTTCGGAATCTTTTTTTTATTGATTCTTAAAATAATTTTTTAATATTTTTAGATTAAAAAATTATTTTAAGAAGCAACAAGAAAGTCATCCGGCTCATTTGAGATGACTTTCTTGTTGTTTCTTAAAGCATATTTCTAGTATAAAATTTTTAATTTTTATATTAAAAAA